ACTGCAGGGAATGTATGATATCATGAAGATAAAACAACAACAGACAGATCTGAAAGTGTTTCCTCACTTTCAGATTTTTCATTCAAGTTTAATCTGTATGAGCTCCTTTTTCAAAGCGGCTATGTGTAACTTTTAGCCACTAGTGGCGCCAGTGCTTGGCATTTTTTTATCCTCATGGCATAGGAAATTATTTTTATTATCTATTATGTTCCTGAATATCGATTTTGTGATATCGACTTTGGAATTGTTGTAGCGTGAAAGCCCTAGCTGCTTATAATACACACTCATGCTGTATAGTGAATGTCTATTGGGATAAAGAGTGTAACAATGTACGTTATGGTACTGTTCAGCCACATTAAATGATAACCTAATAACCTCAGGTAAAAGGCTCGGCACTAAATAAACATCTTTTGACTGCTCTTAAGTGGCAAATAATTATCAGCTGTTTTTTTTTTTAATAAAGTAAATCTTCCCTAATTTACGGCTTTCGGAGGTGAGCAAATAGCACATAATACCTATGGGTAATGAAAGAGGGGACGTTATGGCATCTATCTAAATGTAAAAGTGCTAACTATCTTTGGTTTGCATATGTGGTGTCTCTAAGATGTGACACATAAAACAGACCTTTTTGGCTACCTTCAAAATGCAGGCCTTGATGCTCGATTCCGATTTTTTTTGCGTTGCCGTTCACATTTCCTAATATATGCGACTTGTATGTGATCTCCTGTGTGAACTGCAGTCATACAACGCAAATGTCCCACATGCACAGTAGAGGACGCAATGACATCACAGGCCAGCGTGTTCTGTGTTTACCTAAATAAACATGGATGGTAGTGCCGGGGCGCATCTAGTGATCTAGCCAACCTTAAAAACACAATCTTTTTTAAGATGGTTAAACATAAATACTGCTCTCAGCATCACTGTCTGCCTTGGTTGTTGTTTTTCTTGCTGCTTCTTCATAGCAAGACCCAGAATAGTGACCGTTTTAATGGTGTTCAGGTCGGATGAATCTGATCTGGCCGTTCAGAAACAGGTCGCATTTGAAAAGATCTGATTCGTATCGGATTCAGGGCCACATAGCCAAGTAGCCTGGGTCGCATTGGAAAAAATCGGATCTGTGTTGTTCAGACTACCATGAAAAGATCAGATATAGGACGCATTTGGGCAGTGTGAACGTAGCCTTAGATGTACTAAAACAATCTGACTTCATTTAACATGGGTTGTCAGGGTTCCTGTGTGTTAGTGAGTGCGAGTTATGCATCTCTTCCAGAGAGGATCTTTTTGGGGAAGATAATCTTTCTCATCATAGTGCTGGGCTTAAAAGAGCAGCAGAGCCTTTCACTCAGTGCTGGTTTCTTGTGTTGTTTCATTGCTTTCTAGTCTCTTGCTTACTTCAAGTACTTTTCCTAACATTTATTGCCTTTGTTGTGATTTCAGTATTTTTCGAATTTGGATTTTTTTCATTAAATTATCACAAATTAATCTGTGCCTACTCCTCTCTGGATTTGGGTCCTCAAAGTCTCCACTCAACCTGACAGGGATCGTATTATGGTAACTGGACTTTAACAACTCAATAATGCATAACTATATAAAACAGCAGATAGTAAACAGCAGTATTAAGAAACATCCAAAGAGAAAGAAACTTATACCAAGGCAGTACAAAATGCAAAATAAAAATTATTAATTACCTATTTTGTGTTTTTCATCTTTGAATAGAAAATCTCAAAGTGTTTACTTTTTATTTTAGTTGGTAACTTTTGTAGACAACAGCTAGCATGCCTAATGTAGCGAGATATACAGCTGGTAAAAAATGTGTTATTGTTGGGGTTTCTGATACATGCTAACTAAATTAGATACTGTCTTAATCTGTTTTTCTTATCATGTATTTAAAATGCTGCATCAACAAAGCTGCACGTTTGCCCATTTTTTCCGCTTCCTAAGTCCTTCATCATTGCTTCCAAATAAAAAAACAGCCAACATTGAATGCAACCATCCATCCATTAACCATTACTTGCTTACCCTTACAGCCCATCTCCGACACTCGCTGTCCAGGAAAACCCCAGGCAGGTGGCCAATGTGCTAAACACATGCAGATGGAAACACACCTATTATGCCCTGCAGATGTATCCAATTTGCACATCATTTGTCCCTTCAACCACAGATAAAGGAGGCGCACAAGTGATCAAAGAAAAGAAATAATGCCAAACAGAACTCCAGGGTTGAGATGATAAGGAATATTCTTAAAGCTGCCAGACCAATGTGTGGCTGCGTAGAAAAGTATACATTTAGATTAGTGATCCCACCAAAATAAGCAGGCTTAATTATATTACTGGACTAAAAGTCCCATTCAAATATGTTAACATTTGATTAAAAAACTGACAAGATTTAGTTATTTTTATTTCAAAAATATAAAAGCTTTCTTCACATTGAGAAGAGGTTTTCTAGGGCACCGTACCTCCAATTTAAACTGTGTCAGCTCTGCTTCGCTTAGCTGTGGACACCATTACAATCACAGAAAAGCATTTGCAACAGACTCTAAACTAGGCATTCCCAAAGTCGGTGCTCAAGGGCCGCTGTCCTGCAGGTTTTAAAGGTTTCCCTGCTTTTGCATAACTGATTTTCATTGATTGCTGATTAACAGGGTTTTGCTGAACTGCAATCATCAGACTCAGCTGTGCTAAAGCAGGGAAACCTCTAAAACCTTTGGGGATGCCTACTCTAAACAGTCACGTGAGCGACTGGAAAACAAGGACGGTAACTAGTCACACCTATTTTGTCTGGTATTTGTTAGCTTTCCCTGTGTCCCTCCATTTAACTGACTAAAATATATTTTTTTGTGAAAGATTCAAAGTGTACTATCGAAAACAAATAAATCATTTTCAACAATTTCCATTAGAGAAAAAAAAGATAGATTTCCCTTCCTGTGACATCGCTAAGCTACATCAACCTTGTTGTTTTTCTTTTTCTACACAAACACTGTTTTTAGAGTTTGGCAGATATGCGCTGCTATCTGAGCATACAGAGCACTTTGTCCTTGATGCAGGAAACAGATTTACTCAGGCTCACATTCAAAACCTAACTTTATACGGAACCAAACGACCCATTCATCGGTTACCATTTGCATGTTTCCAAGCGATACAAGGCTTTGTCTATATAAGACTCAAACTCACTGCGGATCCAGACATTTGAATTGAGAAAGCTTCCTGGAGAGGTGGCGAAACGTCCAGTGGATATTTTTTTGAATTTTTACGGAACTAACTTTATAAATACATCAACTAAACAGACATTATCCCTGTACTGTAACAGTACAGTATCCCTCTCCATTAAAGACACAGTGTCCAGACATTTTGTTGATACAGAAGCAAGAATACCAGATTATCAGACAAGGTTTTCCATGTAGCTTCCAAAAATATGGATCTGAGGACAAAGGCCCCAATACAGCATGAAGGTTTCATCTGCTTAATAGGAAACAAGGCTACCAACACCATAGATGGAGAAGAATCCTGCTAATTTATCTACTGTGTTGTTGTTTGAATGTGGCACACTGACTGAAAGCAGCAATGGTGGGAATGCGATGAGATCAGGACTCATTTTGAGGACCAGGGGTTATTCCTTGGAGATTAAGCTCCTTTTGTACCCATAATGCATTACCTGCAAACTCTCACCTCTGTTTCAACCTCTACACTTGATCTGTTCCACCTGAATAATTCACCATAACTACCCTCTGCTATGCTCTTCCTCTTTACACTCTCACTGAGCCTTTTTTTCATTGAACAAAGCCTGAAATAATCGAAGGAATCAAGAAAATCTCAGGGTTAAGTACAGATTAGTTACACAAGGTTTCACAGTTTAGTGTATTTGATTTTATTCTAAATGGTGAAAAAGGTTATAAAGCATAGAGATGTCAGCATTTTGTGTTTTTGTTCAATATGAAGAAACTGGAACCGATGTAAACTGGAACAAAACACCTGCAAGCCACATTACAGCAAAGTACAGCGATATAAAGAGCAGCTAGCTCCATCAAAAAAAATGAAATATGTGCGATTCAGTTCTCTGCAGTTTATTCTCACAGAGTAGAAGTTTGGTGTAAATATTTAAAGCTGGCATGAAAAGTGTTTCTTCTTAACGTCTTTGCTGTTCTCCTCTGAGGATATTTCTTCCTTTTTTTCTTTTTCTTTGTATCCGCTTTTGATATCATAAGACAGAACGGGACAAAACGGAGTGAAAAACAAAACAGCTTCTACTTACAGAAAAGTGTACAGCTTTATTAGGGTCATAAATCAGATTAACTTTTGGTATTGATACAACACTGATAATTGAATTGAACACATGCTTTCCTGAGTCATATTTAAAATTTGGTTTGATCGCTTGTTACATGAACCTGTTCTTGAAAAATAATATCAGTCCTGTTAAAGCTGCAAGCAAAATAATTGCTATTTAGGTCATTGGTATTCATCAGCACCCCATGTGTGATTCTGGAACTGAACCAGCAAAGACCAGCTATACATGATATCAACTATCAGAGCTTTTAACTCATTTTTTCCCAGTTAGGCAGATTAGAAGTTTTTACTGGTTTTATTATTTGTCTGTAGCTATTATTATTTTTTTTTTTATTCAAATCATTTTTTTGTATGTTTGCTCAACATTACATGTAAAAATTGTGCTTAAATTATGCTTTGACTCCCTTTGACTGCTTCATATTTTTCTTTTGTCAAAAAAAAAGATGAAATGAATACATGTATAGCATCAAGATAAAGATTTCCAAATTTCTTGTGAAACAATGGCTTATATTACATTCTCTATTTGACAAAATTGCTTATAAAAACAACTATTTATTTGACGCTGTTTTTTTTTCTCTCAAATAATAAATGTACTCAAATTAATGTGATGCATATTCAGCCTGCTATTGCAATAAAATACAAAAACACAGTTGTTTTTGGGTAAAATGGGACAATAAAAATCCAATTATCAACTGTATCTGGGAAGCATGCACTACTCACAACAAAGCATGGCCCAGCTGAAGTCTTCAGGCATTCCTCCAGAAGTTTCATTCGGAGTCTCTGCAAGTCTGGATTGTCCCACTCCTCTGGATCAACTCCCCAGTATAGATCCACCACCTTAAAAAGCACAATAACACGAGCAAAGAGTAAGTCTGAATATGCAGTAAATCTCGCCTTGCAGGAGAACCTTGAAAAATTACTCTTACGCCTAAAACGTTCAAAATCCTTCACTTTTGGACATTTTGCAAACACAAAACTAATCATATTTTACACAGATTTTAATTACGCATCAAAGCAAAGTAGCATTTTCATTTCAGACAGAGGAAAAAGTTATGTTTTTCAAAATGTATATATTCAGTTTTCCTTGAATCAATCCTTGATGAATCATGTTTTGCTACTGTTTCAGTTATATAACATTTACAATACATCGCTAGCTAGCACATCTAGAAACTGAAATAGTCGTCTGCTCTTCTTTGTAAAACAAATCATGTTTCATCGGATTCGATGGAAAGGGCTTGTTTACACTATTTTTAATATTTTACTCAAAAATGTCTTTTCTATTTCCCATTGTGCCACAAAGATCAGATTTCTGCAGTGCCTGAATAATAATTGTCCTATTTACCTAAATAAGCTGTAGCTTTCTGCTGTGGTCATCAGTCTAAACCTAAACCACTAATGTTCTCTATCAAACCTCTGGGTTCTTCCCAGAACAGCTGCACTAGAAAGAATTGGACTGTCAAATGCACAACACAGAGCAAACAATTGAAGAAGGTGCTCCTATAAAATAAGGCCAAAGCTTGAATTAATTATCTACATGCTAAATTATTCTGTGGCAGAATAGTCGCACTATATATAAAGCCACCATCTCTGCTATAAAAATGGGTTTGGCAATATAATGCTGTGGGAATTTCCCCTACATTTCCCTCACCCATATTCTGAGGACCACAGGGCCCCCTCCTGCACTGCCACTAAAACTACCACTTTAATTCAGCAGGCAAAGACAACACTGTAACATTTTTTATTAAAGACACTACTGAGGTCAGACAGATCTTAGGGTAGATGAGTCAACTTTGGAAAGTATGAACCTGGTGCTTAAAGAACAGCAGAAAGACCAAATATTAATGTAGACTTTGGGGGGAAGCAAAACTAACCGGTGTGCCCTTTCTACATCAACAGCTAGTGTGTGGAAAGAGTCCAAAATTTCCAGTTCCAAAAGGTCCAGATCACTGAATTTTTAATTGAAAAAGCTTCCTGGATGGGAAGCAAAATGTCATCAAACTTGGAAACAAAGTCCAGTGGATTGTTTTTTTTTTACTTTTTTGGAATGACTATGACCTGGATGACAGAATCTTCACCAGCATCTCTTATGACATTTCTTGGACTGTAAACACTTCTGCTGTATCAGAATGCCCAACAATGTCTAGAAATTCTGAGAGTCATCAGGAAGTGCAGCCTAGACAAGAAGTTGTTGCTGGCCTTCTTGTTGACAAATACACTCATTTACTGCTGTGTACTAGTATGGAAACTGCACTGAAGCAGACAGAGTGAGGGTTTATCATGGACAGCTCACACCCAGGTTTCAGCTGTTTGAGCTGCTGCCCTCTGGAATGCCTTACAGATGCATCTAAGCTAAGACAAACTTAGAAAGAAACAGTGGATCATTTGAAATAGTGTAAATCAAGGAGACTTAAACCAAAGCAGTGATTGGCATGATGCTATCCGAAGAATGCTAGACGTAAGGAAGGAGGTAGGAAGAGAAAGCAGGAGGTTTAATTTGCAATAAGGGCCTCCTGACATTCCTATACTTCACAAGGAGCCCAAGATTGCATTATTTCTTCACATTTACTCTGTGTGACACATGCAAAAGGTTGATTGATTGATTAATTGACTTTATTGATCTCACAGTGGACAAATGTACTAGTTACATCGACTCAATAGTCAAAAAAGAGAAGGTGCCAAAAGGAGGAAATGGTGTATATATATATATATATATATATATATATATATATATAGAACAGAACTTTTTCATTTAAAGCGTTTTCTTTCTTTTCATGATTATGAAAACTGTAGATTCGCCCTGAAGGCATCAAAACTATGAATTAAAATGTGGAATTATATACTTAACATAAAAGTGTGAAAAAACTGAAAATATGTCTTATATTTCTACTTCTTCAAATGAGCCACCTTTTTGCTTTTATTTACAGCTTCGCACACTCTTGGCGTTAATTGATTGGATTACCAAAATTTTTATTCATAAAACAAATTCACCATCCAGCAATAAGTGGTATTTGAGCAGTCGTGTATTAGCATTGGTCTATTATGAATGATTTTTATCTAAAATATACAGAAGCTTGTGGTCTAAATGTGACAAAATGTGAAAAACTGTTGGATAAATCTATAGTTTTGCAACCTAAGAGTGCAAAAAAAGAAAAACCACAGCAGAGATACTGATAGATATTATATGGCTCTAAATTAAACATATCCATCATAACAATGAACAAATGCAATTCTAAAAACTAAAAACATGCAACTGCTTCTCAATCCTACATTTTATCAAATGGTGAAAAATCAGTCACATGACATAAATGGGACCTTATTTTTTCTACATCTTGAGCTAAACTGAAGGCAATTATTTTTTCCACACTCAGATATACAGACTGTTCCATTGAAACATTCTCACACGCACACATATTTCTAAGATTGGAGCAGGGAGACACACACCTGCAAGCATCCTCACTCAACCTATTCATCAAAAAGTTCTGGCTGTTGAGACAACTCTGACTGTAACAACACCGCAGGGGGGAATCTCCTGCTGTAGGAGAGAATCCTGAGGAACTGCCTGTAAATGTGTGTATGTGTGGCGGAAACCAGGGTGAAGCTGCATTTACAGGACAACAACCCCCCCCCATTGCAGCTTCCTGGCTCCCTGACAGCTTCTATCCTGCTGGCTGTGATGTTTGGCTCCAAGCATTGTTCCTGATGGCCTTGCAGCTTTCAAGGAGAAGCAGTTTAGATAAAGGATGCAGGTGTAAAACGCATGAGGGACATGCTCATCATCTTTTGATTCCTCTGCCTCCTCTGTCATGGTGAGTTCCTGGATCATACCTTTATGCTCCTCTGCTCAAAAGACAAATGGTCTGAAATGAATTCAGCGTGGGGCGAAATGAGTGGCACATCTGCAGGTTTTGGTGGAGAGAATGACTGGCAGGCCACTTCACCCACAAATTGAACTTGTGAGTCAACTTTGACAGGCGGGGAAACTCTCGCCTCTACAGTTATTGGTAGGGCTGGAAATACACCTCTGTTCATATCGTTGATTGCTGTCATGCACCTGGGAAAAGATGTGTTACTACCCAAGGAGACAGCTGTCGACTAGCTGTAAAAAAAATTTTGTCTGGTGAGCAATATAATCAATTCCAAAATGATGTCTAGACACAGCCTCATTTAGTCCTGAACATCTCGAGGGAAATTTAGACCACATAGAGCTCTTAAACTTTAGCCTTTAAAACCTGGCTCATATGAAAGTTTATTTTTCACCCACGTTCTCGCCCGCTGATGTTCATAGCAACATTTCAAATAACACAGTCAGTTGCTGAGATGGGAGTGAGGTAAACATATTGATTACTGGTAGAAGAAAACAACAGCAATAAGAGACAAAACTTAAAAGCTTAAGAGGCAAAAACATAGACACTGTAATATCCCCTTTTACAACTACTGGGTATATATATACCTCTGTGTATAAAAATTAGCTGTTTTCAGTAAATGACACCCCAGTTTTGCCTTTTAGTGTATATGATATGAAACATCAGCTGAATCTTTCCCAGAGCTGCTGGCTGACATTGCTGTACAGTTGAAAAGGTGGGCAAGATTCAGCTGTAGATGTGCACCTCAAAACAAAACCTTTGAAGACCAAAGTGTTCAGACTGTGGACTGTGAGTACAGATGGTTTGAAAGAAGCATCAAGAAAGCAATCTTTGTGAAAAGAGAAAAGCCATCACTGAACAGAGGGGGAGGAGATCAGTTTCAGCTTCAAAGCATTTACAATTCAGTCATGGAACTAATTCCCAATAAGTTATATAAGCCCTCCCATTATGATTGAAAAGACCAATCATATAGCCCCTGCACAACAAAGGGCTTCCAAATTTCAGAAGAACAAATGGTAGCCATTAGCCTGATAAACCAGACTAAATGTGAGATTAAATGTGTAATTTAGCCTGGCCCCGATGAATGAGACATCGGAAGATAGTTGATGAGAACAACCCGTTGTTTTTCAAACCATGTCTGTGCCTATTGGCCAACGCTTTGACCAATGAGCGCAACTGACTGTGACGTAGTAAGTGCGACAGAAAGCTGGTGGGGGAGTGTAAACAAACAGCCTGTTGGCAAAACGGCGAATACGTCCTTCTTAAAAATGAATGAGCATAGAGCGTCTTCCTGCTCACATTTCAACGAAAACAACTTCCAAAACTGATTCCAAAGCTGAGTCGAACATTCATCAGAGCCAGCGGTCGTTTACACACGACTATGCCGAGAGGGTCGCTGCAGACGGGCTGCAGTAAGCCCTCACTTCCGTTAGCCTCGTAGGTCTGCTGGTTGCCTTGTTTTTTTAATTACGCATTAAATCGGTAAATTGACCATATAGTAACGCTTCAAAGTATAATATTCTTGCCTCGAACGATCTTAAAACGTTACTTTTACTGAACAACAACAGAAAAGAGAACCTTTAACTTTCAATTAAAAGCTGCTACTGCTGCAGTGCATGCTACTGTTTATTAGTTGTTTCGATCTTCCTTGTTGTGCTTTCTCCAGCGTCGCGCAGTTTTGTTGTCATGCCCTAAAAAACCCTGCCCGCTTTGCATCCAAAAATTTAAAACACATCTCTGCGTTGTGATTGGCCCGCCAGTTCTAGGGCCTGGGGCATTGATCAAGGCTAGACCACTGGCAGGAAAAAATTATCTTGGCCGCTGGAGGGTGGGGCTAGTTTACTAGGCTAGGTGGCCATGTGATTAGCATCTGACTTAGAATGTGTGCAGTAGGTTGGTCCTCCATGCTGCTCAAATACTTCAGCGCTCCAACTAGAGTTTGCTTAGGTGCAAGCCAATAGAATTGACAAAGAC